TCAGGACCATCACCCTGCCAGTATCAAGGGCAACTTCGACCAGACAGCAGTGACAAGCACCCCCTAACACTATAACCCCCACCCCCCTTTTCAAAGTCTTTGGGTGGGAAGTACCGTCCCTACCCTGCCACGAACACCACCAGGCCCCTTTTCAAAGTTTTGGGTGGAAGATTAACATCTGCAGAAAGCCAGGTACATTGTTGTCAATGTTCGCTGAAGCCCGTGCTTGTTGAAACCCCACCACTAACACCCTCACCATAACCCCCCCGACCCCTCAACCCCTGAAATCCGTTGAAAGTTTTATTTGCAGATTCGGGGAGATCTCGGTGAGCGCAGTCCATCCATGTTTTCAAAAAAAAATTGAAAAAAAAATTGACCCACTTTTGGGCCCAACCGGAATTCCGGTTGGACCACCGGGCGGCCCGGTCCAACCGGCCGGTTGTCGGCATAGCCATGGTTTTTTTCCCTTTTTTTAAGTTTTTAACTTTTTTTAGAACTTTCTCCCCTTTTTTTTTTATTTAAAAAAGAACTATGCCATATTCTTCTCTCAATTTATTATTATTATTATTTTATTTTTTTTCAAAGAAAACCGAGTTCAATTTCATTACACATAGTCAATGGGTCGAGGCCGGGGACCTCAGAATTCTACCCAGAGTTATCCCGGCAGCTTCAGCCGGTTTAGCTTACAGGCCTAAGCCCGCGGAGGCCAAAGCCTTGGTCTTTCCATGGACCAACTGTACCATCAGTCACTAAGATGACAAATTTCTATCCTCCCTCTAGCCACTGACCTCATCTGGCATGAAATTAAGGTCACCCCTGATCTACATTATGTGGAGGGGGTCTATATGATGAATTTAATTCGAGTGCGTTACCTATCCTAATCAACTAGAGCCTACTGCCTATATCTAGCCGAGCTGTCACGTTCTGTTAACAGAAATGCGGCCTAATTAGCGGCCTTGAATCACCCTTGAAGAGGAGAACCTGCCCCCCCCTTACCCCTGCCTAACACCGCGAGGCGGTCACAATCAGCAGTAGGACAGCAGGGTTTTCAATGTTTTCACGGTTATGAATGCTGAATGACTGTGTTGAATTTTATTAAACCCTTCTCTCAGGCAAACTTTGGTGACGAAGTCGACCACCAGTGCATTCTTTGGATGAACAACAAATGCTACCAGACCAAAATGGCTGCTGGCACCAGCCAAAAAGAAAGAAAATGCGCCGCTAGGGGCTCGTTCTTCTTTGGCACACAGTTGAAATCCGCGTCAGGAGAAAGAGGCTTGGAGGTATTTGTGGTTTAGATTGCATGAATTTAGAGAGGAAAAAGGAGGAGGATTACATGAAATTTCAAATTGGAGCTTAATTTAGTTCAATTTCCCTGTTTTTCTCTTCGACTTGGAAATTATGCTGTTGTGTTAATGGCTTATAGGTACACTTGGGCGTGTGGATTGCGCCCATTATTTGAAGGGAACAAGGCACAGAGAGCACTGGAGACAGTTTTCAAGTATGCCATGCCTTCTGAACCTTCTAAACCTTTCACCACATCTTGCGTTGTATTTTTTCAGCGGTGCGTCGGTGACTGTTCTGTGAATAACATTCTAGACTTTCAAGTAGGATTCTTTGAACTTGGTCAGTTTATCAACAGTTACATATCAGTGTACTAGAGTTAACGGTTGAGGCTAACTGCGGCCTCTCATATCAGTGTACTAGAGTTAACGGTTGAGGCGAACTGTGGCCGTGGTGAGAGGTGGTAAATCCTTCCCTAGGGAAGTCACCAATGCCGTCTACTCGGGCCTCTCGGCCATAACGGGGAGGAGGAGCGTGAGTGGGTAGACGTTGTAACTTGTATGACTTTTGCCGGGGGAATAGGAACCAGACTGACGACGTTCTCCAGAATGGAAGGAGCCAGAGCCCGAAGGGCCCTGTTTTGTTGGGGGGTTGGGGGGGGGAGGAAGGGGAGGGAAAGAAGGGAATCCGATGGATGATAAACCAGGGTCCGGAAACTTATAGGGGTGTGCATTGGACGTCAGCCCAACCTATCCCGTCTTTGGAAGCTTCCACGAGGACAAAGAACAAGTTGACGCTGTGGACCTCGGAAGATATTGAATTTAGGTCCGTGTTTGCGGCCTTCGATTGTGTGTAAGATGCTTCTGTGTTGACTTAGGCCATACTCTTGTTTACGAATGTTACGTCACAAATTAATCACTAATAAACTAGGCTACCAGCCATGCCGCCCAGGTCACCCTGTTTTCCTGGGCGGTCCGTTCGTGCAAGGACCAGGGAGGG